ACACTCACCCACTAAGCCATGCTGGCTGGGCACATGCCAGCCTTACCTGTGTCAAGGATGGCTAAACTTTGGGTCTCTGTTACTTGAGATGACATAGAGCACACACTAGGAGACAGAACCATGTAGTTAAGGAGCTGGGGAGGAAGGCAAGAAAGAAGTTACAAGGTTACAGATTTTTAGCTTATGTCTGAAAATATAAGGATTCAGAAAGTACCCAATAATTATTTATTGGATTAAATAAAACTTTGTATGAGAAAAGGAAAGAAAATAATATTAAATGACAGTATGTGAAAGGGTTGTTCAGGAAGAACTTTCAGACAGGGAAGATTCTAACTAGTGGGAAGGGGCCTGCTTTTCCTAGCAATGATCACAAATAGGCTCAATACACACCCAGGTGGATCTGACCAGCGCTGTCCCCGCCGGTGGCAAAAACAGACTGGATAATTTCATCCTTTGACCCTGTGCTCTAAAATTGAGAGACAGGAACTCAGCCCCCAGACCTTGCTGTGCCAGTTCTGAAGGAAGATGCTGCCACCTAGTGTTTGCTGCTCTCACCCGAATGAGGAAACCTCCCAACAACGGGGTCTCTGTCGTCGAGTCAGACGAAACAGACCTCACTAGCAAAGGCATACAGAAAACAGAATTAACATTAAGTGAGTTGTTGAATAAAGTATTCTTCTGAGGAAAATATGAGTAGTCAATACAGCCTTGAGACGTGATAATCAGAGTTCACGTATACGTTCTATGTGTTGACTACACAGAGGTGGTACAGGGAACACTGCCCAGTGGGAGCAGGCGTTTACTGCCACGGGAAGTGCCCAGGCATAGCCTGGGGTAATTCTTTGTGGGAAGGTTGAAGGCATTTAAGACAAAACAAAAAAATGGTTGACTGAAGCAGAAAATCTTTAAACCTCCTCTTATGCTGGACTTTGAGCTCCTTGAACACAGGGTTTTTACTATCATATCCTGTTAGCATTGTGCGTGGTATGTAGTAGATATAGATATCGGTGTTTTGTTGAATGAATGAATATATTCACTTACCACTTCCCTAAAGAAGAAAACTAGCCCAAATAAAACAGTTACTTAACAAGAAAGAAAAATAAAGCAGCCCCGGACATTTAGAAGCTGGCACTCACACTCAGTCACATTATTCTACTGAACACAAACTCTCAGGACACCAGCCTCAGACAAAGTCACTTGGAGACTATGATAAAATGAGACAAAACAAGGTCATTTCATCATTTTGTCTAAGCACAGACAAAAATAAGCTCACTGTGCCACCCACAGAATACCAAACAGCCCAGCTCTCAGCCGAAACGCGTGACTGCTCCTCTCCACAAACGACAGCCTCTCTGGCGAGTCCTTCTTCCCGCAGGTGAGGCTGAGATCCCAATCAGAGACTGTCCCTGCTTCTGACAGCACCCAGCCCAAGGCAAACCCCCATTTCCTTAAATGCTCCCCCAATCACCAACCAAAACCCCAACCCTGTAAGAAGCTTTAACACCCTCTTACTAAGATACTATCTCCAGTGCAATGAGACTCCTGTAAGAATCCCAGATCTGTGAGGCCTGTAGTTACAGAACACTTCCTAAAAGGTCATACTTATTACTACTACTAACATTTACTGAGGCTTACTCTGTGTCTTTTACAGGCATTATTTCATCACGTGAGGTAGGTATTATCCCTATTACAGGTGAGGAAACTAAAGCACAGAGAGTAGCCTCAAGTTCAGGCAGCTGCTAAGGGGTGGTGCTGGGATTCAACTTGGTCATCTGACTCCAAGCCCATGCTTCTGATAAACAGGACTTGGAAGGTGTGACAGGCATGTGCGTATGTGTCCTGAGGGCAGGCAGCAAGGCATGAGCAAGGGCACAGGGGTGATGAATGTCTCTACGTAACAAGCACCTTGCTTCTCTCAGAAAATTGTATAAAAATCTACATAATTCAGGCCCCTGTCCACAGACCCTTTAGTGCTGGTCCTGGTTCCCTTAAGGCTGACCCCCTTAAGGGCCAGGTACAGGAGTAGGGGTAACACTTCTGGTTCTTTAAATGGCTTTGATTCTGTCACCTTAATTTTAATAATAAAAAATGCTTCAATCTATGCCTTTGACATGACATTAAATTACGCAAATAAAAAAAAAGCTCCAATCTGCCTCCACCCCACACCTGGTTTTTCTCATCTCCCCAAAGCTTGAGTAGCATAAGCTAGGTGTGGCCACGGGGACTAAAATCAGTCCTTCACTTTCACTCATCTTTCAGGTCTCCACATTCACAGGTCACTTCCCCGGGAAGCCTTCTCTGATTCCCCAGGATAGGCTAGATCCCTTCAACACAGGCGCTCACACTGGCCTGAACTTCCCCTCTGGTAAAGCCTGTCAGTCACTCTTGCTATAGTTCAGTATATGCCCCTCCCTGCTAGACTTTAAGTCCCAAGAGGGCAGGGCCCATGTCTGACTTTGTCCAATGCTTGGCACACTGCAGGAGCTCAGAGTTGTGAACTTGAAGGGGAAGGGGGACCGAGTTGCAGTAGAGATTTGAGGGGAACCAGGTCAATGTCTTTCTCTTCCTATTCCAAACTCTTGCTTCCTAGTGCATTGTGATCCCTGCTCTGCTGTATTTCTTGACCCAAACTCAAAAACTGTCTTCAGTCAGCCAGATGTTGCCTAAAGAAATCCAGCCCTGCTGCATCAGGTCTTTTTCTTTTAACAAGAGTCTCATCAGTCATTCATAAACTTCACCTTCTAAAAAGTGAACCTTACCCCCCTGATGAGTTAGTTACCCAAGGTCACACTGAATGAAATAGCACAGCCAGAAATAAAACTCAGATTCGGCAACTCCCAAGATGGTCCTTGATCTTCTTCTTAAAGGAATGAAAAAGAGGAAATGGTCTCCAATACTGATTCTCTAAGAATGTTAATCAAATGTGGACTTATAATGCCTGCAGCTACTCCATGTTATCTACGAGATATTAAACCATAATGAGCCCTTCAGGAAAAGGCATTTCCTAAAACGGAACAGGAAAACACAAGAAGTACAATCTGGATTTATAATTAATATTGCACAAATAATTCAAATTAAATTCTGGATTGTGACTCTCCTAAACTGGCTTACCAAAGCGAAGTTAGCATGAGCCAGAGTCAGAATCGGCTCACTGTAACCTCTCTGTAGAGGGTACTGTAAGGCTTTTTAGCTGCAGAAAACACAAATGTCTTTGGCATTATATGTTCCAATCTCATGAGAAGCCATTTAAAAATGAGTAAGACTGATGCTAAATTCTTAGATACACAGCCGCACAATGAGAAAGTTCAAATAAAAGCCAAGTTCTTAGCCTGCAGGGCTGAAGAATGAAAGCCAAGCAATTAGAGCTGAGAAAATGGATTACATAATCTTACAGCGGGAGGCTTAGATCAGCTATAGCAAAGAAGTCATTGTCTAGGTGCTGGAAATAAACATGACATCTTTTGTTTGTTTTTTAATTTTTATTGATTTTTAGAAAGAGAGGGAGAGGGAGAAAGAGAAAAACATAGATCAGCTGCCTCCTGCACGCCCCCTACCAGGGATCGAGCCCACAACCCAGGCATGTGCCCAGGCCGGGAATCAAACCGGCAACTTTTTGGTACACGGCACGGGATGACACTCAACCAACTGAGCCACACCAGCCAGAGCTAACTAAACAAGACACCTTTTTACCTGGGATGATCAAGTACAGTTCAGTTCAGCCAGGGGTGAGGGCAGAGAAAGACTACACAAACTACCAAAGCACCTTCCAGCCTGGGGTCTTTGAAAACAAGCAAAGTAAACTATCTCTGAAAAAGTGAAGGTAAACAGATGAACTCTGAACATCTTTCCTAAATACTTAGGGCTCACTTCTCATCTATCTATTACTCACACCACCTAGGAAGCCCCCAAAGAACTGTGTACTTCATATTTCTCTGAAACGTTCATTTCTTCCATCACTGTTGCCCAAGCAACATCATACAATTATTCATAGGAAGTGCTGCAGGGCAGCTCTTTTCACCAAACCTCTTCCTGCACATTAGTACAAAGGGCTAAAAATAGTACAATCACTTTGCTAAAGTTTCTAACCAAAAATAATTTTTGAGAAGGCCTTTGTTTTTCCTTTTCTTGCTAATTCTCATTCCCTTTTAATTTTCTCTTTTATAAGAACAAAATCTCTACTTTCATCTAGAAATGGATTAGCTGTTTCAAGCAAAATGTTTTATTGAAAACTAAACAAATATCCTTCTGCAAAGAGGGAGGACAACCTGGAACGAAAGCACAACCAGGACCACTATAAGGCTGTCTCCAGTGTTATTCCTGCACCTGGGAGGTGACCTCAAACACCTGATGGCCTAGAAGCAAAACTTGTAAAAATGACACATTTCTATATCATCAATCAAAGCTCAGCTGAATTTTCATCACAGTGAACCTTCATAATAACCCAACATTTAGACAGAGTGGGACATGATTTTAGATGTAAAACTTGGTTTGTTTCCACAGTAAGCCTTGATCATTCTGTCTCTCATTTCTCTCAGCTCGAAAATTAAAATAGCTTTTGATATCCTCCTTTTTTGCCAATAGAAGCTTAAATATGAAATGCCTAACTCACTTCAAAAGGAATTACTGTAGCATACCGGGAGGGACTGGTTGGAGGTAGGATGATGGCTCACCTCCAGAACTGCCCCTCTGAGCCGGGGGAGCGCGCTGTGAAGAAAGGATGCTGGCCATTGGCATTAGGCCTTGGTCTGTTTTGGAATTTTCAACAGTACAGAGTGAATAACTTTCCTGAAAGGTTATCTGATTAGCTGTTGTTCAAGGTAATTTATACTGAGGATAAGAGACTTCCCCCATCTGCAAGTGGGTTACATAGAGTTATAAGCAATAAACTCTATAAAAGTCCACCAAGTTTGAGCTGAAAACTTAGGTTTAAATAATGCAAGGTAGGGATGAGACACAGAAATCACAGATACAAACATATGGCACACACAGACAGCCAAGACCTGTGATGGAAAGCTTTAATCACCACATGTAAAAACAATATTTTCACATATCAAAAATGGCTCCAAATTCTTTACTGTCATCACCATAAGTCTAGAAATGAAAGTTGCACTAATACAAAACCTTCCTGTTGTTCATAACGGCAAGATTTATGAAACTGTCTTACAAACATCTTGTTGTTTTTTACCCTGGGGCTGGTATCACCAAAATGAAAAAGGAAAGTCACTATCAGCTGGAATTTATTCAATGTAGAATAGTTTAAACCATTTATTCTTTAACCTGGAGTGCTTCTCTTCTCTCTCCCATCCATACTAGGTGACGACAAGAGGGAAAGATGACAAATGGATGGGTCCAGTCCAATATGTATGACATATTGATGTTATGATTCTCAACTCAATCTACTGATCAAAACAAAGAAATTAAATTTCAGTATCAATTAACTCAATGCTATCACATTAAAAAATGATTTAAATTGGTTCTTTCTTATAAAAGGGGAGTTGACAGTAGATTCTCATACAGTTCTTCCTCACAATGTCTATTGCAGTGCTCTCTACTTCCTACAGATGAGCCAACCAATTAAGTTCAGAGTTCATAGAGACTGCCCTGCAAATTTCAGCTCTGGGCTCTTAGTCACCCTGATAAGATCTATACATGTCTAAAAGAAAACCCCAGACACTACAATAGTTATTCCAGTCAAGTGATGGGAGGGGCAATCATGTTAAATCAGAAAAAAAAGACAGCCATGTTAGAGACTATTTAAACATTTTTAGTATGTAAAAACAAATAAAAGTACAAGAAAATTTTCAAAATTCAAAATTCCTAATGTCTCTAACGAAGTTTTTGTGACCAAGGCTAGAGCAATGGTGTTCAACCTCATTCCCAAGGCAGCCTGGGGGTTTTATCTCCAGTCATTTCCATGATGATCTCTGCCTGTTTCTAAAACATGTTCTTTTTCTAAATATTCACAGCACTTCATCAAAACCAGCTGTTAGTCCACACATCTGAGTCAGGAAATCTTTGCTGTCTCTTGGTTTCAAAGTATTACACATGCAGTTTCCTGTGTACTACTTACTTGTGACTCACAATTACAAGTATTCGGGGCTGTAATAAACACGTGGGGACAGACAGCAGGTAGAGAAGTACCACGCTCAATCTTGCTCCATGCTCTTTGCTTTTATTATTCCTAGATGCCTTCTCAACTCAAACGACTGAACTGAACAACAGACATGGACATTTACTGGATTCTTCTTGAGAAGTTAAATTATATTCACTACCTCTCAGCCGAAACTGGGTAAGGATAATGAAGCGAGTTCAGTATTAGTTCAGTATTAGACTGAGTTAGAAAAAAGGCTGTCTGGGAAAGGCTTGATACAAGTGTTCTTTTTTATTTTTATTTTTTCCAGGTAGAACCATTGAAAATCAAGGTTGGAAAAACTCTTAACAACTGTACGGCCAATCCCCCACCTGATACCTGAACTCCTATAGAACATCTCTGCCGAGTTGTTGCCCGGCATCTGCCAGAACACTGCCGGGGCAGGAAGCCGGGGCAATATTGCCTACTCCTCCTTAGAATCAGATGGCAAAATGGACGGAACAGGTAAGCGAGCTTCCATTAAAGATGATCATGAATTTTGTAACTTTTCAAGAGAGTTAGCAGATTGTCAGTTGCTACTCAAAGGAATAAACCAGATTTGTTCCACGCATCCAATGCTTTCTGCAATGATTAAAAATGGAGGAATATAACTCAGAAATGTGAATTTTATAAATCAGTGTAGAACAGCTGTGTGTGTGGTGGTGGTGGGGAAGCAAATATCTTAAAAGTAATCATTGTAGGGACCCCAAAACAAAGGGAAAATAAGTGTTTTGAATAATAAATAAACGTTTCACTTTAAAGCTACAATAAACACCTTGTGCAGCAAGTCTTGGTACAAGAATTCCAGAGCCTCGGTGGATGAACTGTAGGCTACTGACAGCTGCAGCACTTGTCAGTTCAGATGCAGGAGACAGGAGAGTGACAGGAGCAGGTCTGAGGCCACAGCCTGCTGTCCTGGGCAGTCAGAAGCAGGGCGCTCTCCCTTGATTTCTCCTTCTGGCTTGTTTAGCAGCACTGCAAATAATTCTCCTATTTCTAACTTCCCTCAAGGTACTCAGACTGCTTCAAGCTTTCAAATCCCCCCTTCAGAAGACCAACAAAGCAACACATTGGCTGGTGGGCAGTAACATCAGGATTCGGTTTACAAAGGATCAGTTCCTCTGAAGGAACAAGTTTCTGTCTATAATTTATTTTCTGGACATATATGTGAACAAGTCTATCTGAACTGAAAACATTCATCCTGCTAACACATACATACACTAGAAACTCTAAATGACATGGTAACTGAGACTTGGCTGATTCAGTTCCGAGGGGTATCGTCCAAGGCGAGGTGTGAAAATGGTGGTGGTGTCCATCTTTAACAAACGAGACTGCGTAACGCACAGAAACAAAACAACAAAAAAAACCAACCTTAAAGTCAGTTTGTCTTTTTATGTGGAGGCCACTTTTTTTCATATCTGTTTCAAAAATGCCAGATAAATAACATTAGTGGCTAGATGACAGGAGAGCAAATCTTCCTGCAAAAAAAGAATAAGCTTCCTTGACCACGGAGATTCGTAAGTCAAATCAATGGAAGTCTATTAAGTACTCGGGATAGATCTGGTTGGCATCAAACACCACAAAGATCTTTGGGTTCCAGGTATCATCCACACAGCTGTCATATAAATTCACATAGCTACCGTCTTTGGAAGGAGGTCGCATGTATTTAGAGTCTCCATTTATATAATCTCCAATCAGCACTCGAGCAAGGAACATAGATTTATAGGTTCTAAACAGATGTCGATGTTGCAGGCTTACACCATGAATTTGGAATGTGTTTCCATGTTTTATGTCATCTTTGCAGAAGCGACTGGAGTAAGCAGCATCTCTAGCAAAATAGGTTCCTTAAACAAAAAGAACCCAAAAAAAGCCAAGATTAGAGATTACTCTGAAGAATACATAAAACATAAGCAAAAATATTCTAATTGTTAGGGGAATAGACACATGGATTGTATAACAAAAAAATAGATGTGGAATTTCCTCCTGTGCAGATCTTTAAGAAAAGAGTAGAAATTCATCTGTTACGGACAGCTGTGATTCAGACCACCACAGGGATATAACTGTCAGTACAGGCCAGTCCCACCGCTAACAACGTCCCGCCTGCACCAAAACGTAGCTGCCAGACTTTGGTTTTCGAAAGAAATCTTACAAAGAAACCCAGGATGTAAGACATATGCAAACTATTTCTGTGATTAAAAGTGTGGCAGGACCTGAGTTTTAATTGCTTGGATCTCCCTCCCAATCTATTTCCTTCTACCACTTTCCTCCCCCCACTACCCTGTGCAGCATCCGCAGAAGTGCTGGAGAGCACAGTGAGAACTACTGGGCTACAGAGATTGTTTCAAACCCAGAGAAACTACATTTCCATGATACAGAGTAACAATTCAATAATATTTCTGCAAATAATAGAACTCTATGTCCCAGAGAGTGCAATGCTGTTCACATCAGACCATCCCAATAGAACAATTTCGCCAGTTCATTGCCTAAATATGAAAACTCAGTAAAGCATCTGACTCATCCAGGAGTCAGGCCTAGGAGAGGGACATCATTATGGGAATACTTACTCTAAACATTTTTGAAAAAGAATTGCAAAGTCTCATATTACCCAATGCTGATGGGATTTAAGTAACACTTTTCTGATCCTCCTACAGTTAAATAAATGGAATGGCCTTTTCAGTAGTAATTTTTAAAATTTATTTACTTTTTCAAAATATAGCACATCCTGATCCTAAGCAGTAGTCAGTTCTCTTTTTCTTCTTTTAAAATTGTTGGAAGTATTACAGGTGTCCCCTTCTTCCCCCGATTGATCCCCTCCACCCAGCATCCCTCCCACCCCCAGGCCTTCTCCACACTATTGTCCATGTCCATGGGTTATGCATTTATGCATATAAATTCTTTGATTAATCTCTCCCCACCCCCTCCCCACCCCTGCCTTCCTTCTGAAATTCATCAGATTGCTCCATGGTTCTATGTCTCTGTATCTATTTTGTTCATCATTTTATTTTGTTCATTAGATTCCACACGGTAGTCAGTTCTCTTGATGGAGGTAAGGTACAAAGTAAGAACCAGCAAAATAAATGTCCATCCCTTACCTTTTCCCCTCCTCTCTCTCCTTAATTTGCTTGAGTAGTGGGCATAAACTGAAGAACTTGGACTTTCACAACATTAGAAAAAAGGTGAGGATTTCCCCATTATTCCTTACTGCTCATTAATATTCTTACCTATCTTTTTCTAAAAAACAAAACAAACAAAAAAATACTAGTACCTAGACCTGTGCACAATGTAATTAATTTATTTTATAGTTCTCTCTGTATCTGACATAAAACAGTTTCAGTTTTATCCACAGAAAGGATTTATACATGAAAATTAAATATAATGCAACCATCAGCTAACACGGACATGATGCCCATTCGAATGACTGGGAGAGGGGCTCGATCTAATCCAGCAGGGGGTAAAGATCTCACTTCCATCTCAGACCTCAGGAAGTGGCTTTTCTGTGACTCAGAACCTCTGAGGGTGTGCCGGGAACCTAGTACATAACCTTTGATTTAATGACTATCAAACCCCTGAACTACAGAACAGTCAATAATCTCTAAAGAGAGGAGATTTGCTCCCAGGACCTGAATTGGGCCTGGAATTCTGATAATTACCTTTTCCAAAGAGAGCACCATGTATACCGTTTATTCTCCAATCAAAGTTATGAATGCAAATTGCTTCCACAAACTCGCTGCTGGTACCGTGAAACAGCATTTGTTCATTAATCTGAGGAACACCACTTTTTTTCTTGAGCTGAGCCTTTTTCCTAAAAACACAATATACACAGACATAAAGCACACAGAGAAATATACCATAGTGGCAGTTATTAATTTTTCAAGGGGTAAAATTCAATAGAAAGTGTGAACCAGAAAACACTTCTTTAACATAAATCACAAATGGAAAAAGCAGCTCTGAAGAAGAATCCCAAACACTCCTGGACACATAAATCACCTCATCAAAAATTATTAGTTAACACTGAGATTTTAGTTTGAAAATTATACCCAAAACTATAAATATGTCAGATGATGCCCCATTATAATAAAGGTGATTGCCTAAACCCACCAAGTTTTACACATGCCTAAAAATGATACAATAAACAAATAAATAATACAAAGTTCAGAGAGTCCTTAAACTGAATTCCTTGAGCAAGGACCAGACCTTAATCTTTTTATCCCCAGAGATTACAAAATGTTGGCTGAATTAAACTGAATTTTGAATTTTAAGACTAGAAGGACATGAAGCCTTCCTTCCATTCAACTCTTCCCAATGGAATGGACAAATCTCTTTGAACACTGTAGGACTGATTGTAACGGTAAAAAACAAACAAACAAACTGAAAAGAGCTTAAAATCCTTTCACAGAAAAATGAACAAAGAATTACATATTTATACATGAAAGTTAAAAGTAATGAACTAGATTTGCATGCATTAACATAGGTAATTCTTGAAAACTAATGTTGAATGTAAAAGGTGTTGCAAAAAGACATATAACTCAACATAATACTGCATATTGCATAAGTACAAGTATATAGGTAATAAAAAATATAAAGACATGGACAAGAAGGCATCACTCCAACTTCAGGAGGGAGAAGGGAAACAGGAGGGGGTGGGGATGGGTAAATACTTCACTTGCATCTGTAATGCTTTGCATCCGAAAACAAACAAACAAACAGATACAACGAAGAAGAATATGTGACAAATATTAAAATGTTAAATCTGATTAGCAGGTACACAGGTGTGTGTAAACTATTTGCCTCATTTTCATTTTAAAAATATTTAATAAAAATGATGTTTTAACAATGAAAAAGAACCCCTCCCCCATCACGTCTCAATAGATAGCGATTTAACACCTGCTTCCAGACAGGACGGCACCATCTATCTATCTGTGACCAGCTGTACCCATCAGAGAGCAGACCCGCCCGCACACTGAGCCAACACCGGCCTTCCTGTTACTTCTACTGATTGGTCTTAGTTCCTCTCTTCTGAATATGGAACCATTTAAATATACAAAACGACACTGCAAAAATCCAAAAATAACTATGACCTAGGCTTTCTTTTCTAGTTAAATATACACCATTCCACCAACTATTCCTCACACAGCACTGCTTCCAGGCCTTTCTTTCTCCATCCTGGACAGCCTTTCGTTGACAAGAATCTGCTGGGTCCCTTCTAGTTTATAATGTTGGTAGGAAGCAGAAACAGGGTGCAGATAGCATCGGACAGCGCTGGCTCTAACGGCGCGCACTCAGTTCCTCCTGATTCACCCTGTAGCACGGTCACCGCGCTGCTGACTGACATAAGTCTGCATCAAGTAAAACTCCCAGGGCTTTCTCCAACTAGACTTCTCTCGGCTTGCTACATTTGTACAACTGATTTATAAACCTAATGCAGTACACTGAGTTCAATTAAACTTTATCTTGATACAGCAATTTAAAATGTGCAGAATTTATTTTTAAAAAAACATGCACCTGAGTGAATGTGTGGGGGGTGAATACTTGCATTTAAATGATGGAAGAATTGGAAATGTATGTATGGTCTTTCTCAAGCATCGTTTGGCAATGTGTCAACATTTAATGTCTATGCTTTGATCTACTGGTGATAGTCTTTTCAGACCATTAAGCATGACATTAGAAGGATGTGCATTAAACAAATATTTATTTCTGAAAAAGCCAGCACGTTTTCACTACTAACAAATTATGTCAAATTTGTTTTTAAAACTTTATGTACTTACTTTTTTTAAACAATGCATTTTGTTGCTTTTTTAAGAAAAAAATCTTTTAAAAAAAGGAAAAAGAGATAATCCTGTTTTGACTCACTGTTTCTATCTTCCAAGGTCTTTCTGACTCCTGATTCAGTCACACAGCAAAGAAGCTACTCCTTCCAGTTCTGAATCTTTCACAAGAGTGACAAGCAGGCCTTCTGTATTTTCATCCAAATCCCTGATAAAAATGCTGAAGGGCCAAGAAGAAAGCGTGCAGGCCGTTCAAGCTACCCTTCGCATAAGACTTTGTACCGGGTGTTAATTTTTCTCTTTACACTTATCCCCGGAACACATTTCTCTATCTTTGTCTCCATGCTTTTCAACCACTTTGCAGAAACCAAGTTACACTAAGGGGCTTGCCCATCGACTACCATGGTAATGCTCTACCTGGGCATTAGTAAATCTACACTGTTGTTTTTTTTTTCTAAGAAAACATTGTTTAATATTCATCCTTCTAATGTCAAGCTTCACGGTCTATAATGACTAGAACCCACTCTAAAATCAGGATAGTCACTCATCACTACTTTTCAGGCACAGATTAGAATGAATTTTGGTTTGAAACTTCACTCCAGTCTCTCTAAATATTATAAATGAAGTGTTGGTTAGTTAAAGAGCCAGGTGTGTGGGCATTACAAGCCTGCTCGGTCACTGGATTGAATGCAGTGTATTACACGAGCTGAAGGCAGAATGGAACAGAATGGTCAAAGCTTTGCATCCCCACAGCATGGATTATTCCAGTGCCCACTGAGAAGGCACCTGTGAAGTGTGGAGACTTTCATACTATGACCTTGGTGTTCCAGAAAGGCTAATGTTGAGTTCTAGGGCCTCCTGGACTTCAGTTAAAGTTTTAGGAAAAGTCATAGGATTCAAACTACACTAAGTTCTTCACAATCCTACCTCCTTTTGCGCAATCCCACATTCATTTCTGAACTTACCGAATATTGTAGCACCCACCTCTCAAAGATCTCTTAAAATTACCCACCCTCTCAGGGACTAGAGTGCCAATGGGGCTAAACTGGAGATGCCATGCACTCTGAACTGCAGCAGGAATGTCTTCATGCTCCGTATTGAAATAAGTTTGCCCAGGTTTAGACCAGTGGTTTTCCATCCTGGCTGGACATCAGAATCACTTGCAGAACTTTTTAAAGCTAATGTCAGAAGGCTGAGGTTCTGATTCAGTAGATCAAGGGTGGGGACGGATATCTCTACTTGCTAATAGACAGGTGACTGATATGCAGCCAGGGCTGAGAACCTCTGATCTCAATCCACATTCTCCCACTTTCTTAATGAGATAGCAGCTTTCACTGTTCTTTTTCCCTTGCTGCCTTCTCCTGGATCAACCCAACCACCTCCTCTCTCTGCTCTTAAATTTGAATAGCTGAAATAAGTCAAACAACATCCCCATGGTTTCCACTACAAATTCACACATTCCGACTTTAGCTAAGCCCTCAGCACTAATGGAAATCCCATAGTACCCAAGTTAGCTCTTTCTCCATTTCCCAGTGGCCATTTCGAATCTCCCCTTCTCCTCTCTCTCCCTCTTACCCACGCCTCCCTAACACCTCAATCTCTGCAGGTGCCCTCACTTCTTATTTCACCAAGGAAACGAAAGGATCAGGGTGGAGCTCCCAACCTAACTCCTGCCCTCATCTTCTACCTCTACTTTCTTAAAACATAACGAGACATAACTAGGCCACCCTTGTCTATCCCCCGACATATGTTTTCTAAGTTCCATCCCATCACACCTCTTTAGGAGCCTTAATCCATCAATTACACTTCACTCTCCTGTCCTTTAAACTCTCCCTCTCCATAGTTTCTTTCCTATTATAATGTAAACATGCTCAAGTCTCTCCCATCTTTTAATTCAAAAAACGTAAAACAAAACAAAAACACCCTTCCCAACACTACATTACCCATCTTCTCAGATCTCTGTCTTCACTGCCAAGCTTCTTAAAAGAGTCATGAACATTTGCTGTAAATACAATGCAGGGTGGGACAAAAGAAGGTTTACAGTTGTGAGTCCGTGAAACAAGAGTTTATTCTTGTATTATTGTTAATTAATTGTTGTATTATTTTCCATATGAACAACTGTAAACCTACTTCTGCCCCACCCTGCACAGCATCTACCAACATTGCTTTCATCAAGGGTACCAATGACCTTTTTGTTATAGAATCCCAAGGGTGCTGTCGATAATCTTACTTGGCAACTCTTCAGTATGTGACCGAGGTCGACACCTACCCATGGAAACCACTTTCTCTCTTTGGTTTCTGTGATCACCTTCTACTGGTTTTCTTCCACCTTTCCTGGCTGTTACTTCTCAGTTTCTTCCTTGGGTTTTCTCTTCCTCTATCCCTTCTAGAGTTCAGTCCTTGGTTCTCTTCTTTTATCTACATAAAGCCTGTGGTCAACTTGTGAATTCCTATGGCTTCTATTACCCACATTTTTTAACAACTCCAGAACCTTTATCTCTAGTCTACACCACTCTGCCAAGCACCCAACCCACATATCAACTACTACTCCCTCCCCATCCTCCCCAGACCAAAACCTGTTCCTACCCATTTTTCCTTCAATTAAAATAAGTCAGAAACTTTAATGTTATCTTTTCCATCTCCCTTACGCACCCCATGGCACACATTAAATTAAGAACCAACCAACATCATTCTACATCCTTAGTATCTCAAAGTTGTCCTCTTGGCTCCTTCGGTCCACTTTGGTTCAAGTCACCCAATGTGTCCCTGTTTAATTACTGAAACAATTTCCTAAAATGGTCTCCCTGCTTCTAACTGTGATCCATTTAAACCAGTTTCTAAGCCTCAGCACTACTGACATTTTGGGCTGGATATTTCTTTGTTGTGGGAGGCTGTCTTGTTCTTTGTAGAATGTTTAGCATCCCTGGCTTTACTGAGTAGATGTCAGAGGGTTTCTCCATCCTACTGCATGGCAATAAAAATGTGTCCAGCCACTGCCAAATACCCACAGTGGGCAAAATCATCCTAACCGAGGACAAGTGCTTTAAATCCCTTCCCCACAGTATAGCCTAATGAGTTAATTTTCTAAAATGCAAATCAGATCCATCACTCTCTTGCTTAGAGTCCTGCAACGGCTTTCCACTGTCCCAGGGGGAAAAATCCAAATCCCTTAGTTTGGCTTGTAAGGCCCTGCATGGCCTGGTCCCTGACAACTCTCTACTTCAGCTGTGGGTCAGTCCAACTCAAGTAAAGCTACCAAAGAAAATCACAAAACCACCCAGTGGCTCTACTACAAACTCCTGCAAGCTCTACCTCTGGAGCACCTTTCTAGGCTCCTCTCCAACCATCCATCCTATGTTCTGTTCTATTTGAAATTCTCTCAATGCTTTATGTTCCCTCTTGTAATCAACTTTGGCCATCCTGCTCCTGATGCCTGGAATGCTCTTCACTTCTCCTACCTAGCTCTAACCTAAATCGCCCTGCTTTAGGAAGTGCTTCTTGATACTCCCCACCCCACAACACATGCCCTATTTTTGTCAGAAAGAGTGAGCAGATACCTGCCCTTTGTGCTTCATGATACCCTGTGCTACCCCCTACATTTTGTGGTTTGATGGCCTGGCTCCTTGTCTAAGCTATGGTCCTGTTATATCTCAAGTGTCTAGAATAAAGCCTGTCACAAAGTAGGAGCTAAAGGATATTTTTAGAAGAAGGGAAGAAGTAAGAAAGGCCCCGGACAACACGCAAACTGATGCCTGATGGACTCACGTAGTGAGTCATAGGTTACCTGACAATGAGATCGACTCAATTATCTTAGTTCTTCAGGGAAATGGCAAAATGACAGGCTGTCCTCATAATGAGACTTAGTATTTTCTACTGTCACAGCAGGTGGCAGGTTCATTTGCCATCAAGATTTCTAGACACTGACATTACATAAAATCATGAAGGGCATTGACAGTAAAACTGGCTTCAGTAAAATCTTCATATAAATGTTGGGGAGTCACTGTACATTTTACCACTAGGACTTAACTGAAGACTCAGATTGTGAGGGAGGCTAATATGAACTCCACTTCAGGAGCCAGATTAAAAATAATGAATTAAGATTTTATCAGACCAGCTGAGAAAAAACTTTACTCACTGAGAGAATAAAATAAAAGGGACAGAGGCTTCCATCTTCCTCTCAAAAAAAAAAAAAAAATACCTGAACAAGAACTGAATAAAACCTTCTAAACTCGGTATTGTCAGAAATAAAAGTTGGCTTGGTCCAAAGACTTAAGACTATAAAGAATATAAGCTGAAAAACCCTTATTTTATCATATAAACTCTTATGAGCACCAGAGCATGAAAGAATTCCATGTATCATTAACAAAAATCAGCCTGATTCTCAAGTATATGAGAATGATGAGTTAAGGTCTAGGTCTGATTTAAAATATTTCAGCAAAACAATAATAGTGAAAAAGCAGATAGATAATATGTGGTATATCTTGATGAATGTTAAATCAGTATGATGCTACCTAGGGCCTTGTTATATTAAACTCTATTATTTGAAATTTTCCTGAATAAGTATTAAAGGTCTGCTTATATTAAAAATATTAGAAACCAAATCTCATTCACAAATTTAATTAAAATATTTCAGAAAGCCACATATTTTAGGTACTACTTGCTATAAAAAAATACTTACATTCCTCAGCACCATCTGAGATATAATTATAAACAATAAACTGCATATATTTACAATTAACAACCATTAATCTGTTTGAAATTATCAGTAAAACTAATGAACATATCTATCACCTCCCCCAGATTCCTTACTCCTATGTGTAATCCCTCCATCCTGCCTCTCCCCATTGGCCCTGAATCTTCACAGCTACTGATGTATTTTCTGTTACTGTATATTTGTAAACAAAACAAAAACAAACAAACAAAAAACCTCAGCACAACAGATTAACTTGGACAATATCTGTCCTTTAAGTTTTTGCAATGGGCTTTACTTTTTTAGGTTAAGTGCACACTGAGCAATCCAATGGGTCATTTCCAACCTAAGTTGAGTGATAAATTGAGATTTTTAAATCTACAACATAAACTTTGGGCAAAACAGGAAATCTGCAGGTATGTTTTACAATGGCCCTTGAAAACTAAATAAGCAAATGGCTACAGGCAAGATAGTGTAATTGTTTAAAAAGAAATTCAACAATGTTTCAGAGAGTTGTAATTCAACATAAAAGTCTGAGCCAACAAAGTCAAATCAACAAAACTAAACAGCTCCCCGATTCCTCTGCAGTGCTGATTAAGCCAAGATGCACAGCTCTGGACCTTGAAAAGAGCGTGTTTCTAGGACTGTGCCGAGGAGACTGACATCTAACACTGCATTACACCGTTGTGAGCAATGCCTTGCATTTACTTATAGAGCAACTCTTCCATTTCCATAGAAGGCTGAAGAAGAGAGCTGAGAGACCAGGTCAAAATAGAGAAGAGAAGAACACAGCAGCAGTGAAAAGTAATACAATTAAACATTTGTGCTCCACTATCATCTCTGAGACTACAAGTCTTAGTGGCCAAGGAGAGGGTTCAGATTAGAAACTGTCTCACCTGCAAAAGAACTCCCACAAGTCTAGGTTTTGGATTCTCTGAATTCTTTTAATTCTGTTGCGATCCATTGTTTTCCCAAAGAGACTAGCAACTTCATTATATTCATGTGTTTGATTGTGCAAAGGAATAAGCTGGAAAATGAAGTTTGACAGTTTTATTGGAGTCCTTTTGCATCTCCAGCACAGTACAGCCAGTCAGTTCTGCTCTTACCTGATAGGGTACATCGGTGTTCACATTCTCCCAGTGCGGGGGCATGGGAATAGCCTCATTTTCACAGATATAACTTTAAATAGCCAAAGACAAAACAAAATATTAGAATCCAATTATAATTACAGTGATTTAGACTTTTCTTCAAAGTTGAATTTTCTCGTTTGGAATACTGTGACAAATGCAATTAAGTGTAATTAATCCTTGCTTTATTTTAAAATATTGATTGAGCCCAGGCGGGCGTGGCTCAGCGGTTGAGCGTCGACCTAGGATCCAGGCGATTGGGGTTCGATTCCCGGTAAAGGCACATGCCCAGGTTGCGGGCTCAATCAATGACTCTCTCATCATTTATGTTTCTATCTCTCCCTCTCCCTCCCTCTCCTTTCCTCTCTCTGAAATCAATAAAGATATATTTAATAAAAATATATATATATATTGATTGAATGTCTATTTGTGTACTACCTTTTTAGGTGCTGAATTGAGAACTTTGATGAAAAATATCCAACACTACATAACATTAAAATGTCAAGAACAGTTGCTTAATTCTGTCTTGTTTCTCTGAATTTTCCAGAATTTCTTTAAAATGTAAGGAAGATTTTAGGTAAAGAAAAGACATTTCCAAGAAGAAAATAAAACCCTTGATTAAAAAAAAACCTCTTGCCCAGCCGGTGTGGCTCAGTGGNCAAGAAAAGACATTTCCAAGAAGAAAATAAAACCCTTGATTAAAAAAAAACCTCTTGCCCAGCCGGTGTGGCTCAGTGGTTGAGCGTCGACCCGTGAACCAGGAGATCACGGTTCGATTCCCGGTCAGGGCACATGCCTGGGTTGNAAAGAAAAGCCATTTCCAAGAAGAAAATAAAACCCTTGATTAAAAAAAAAACCTCTTGCCCAGCCGGTGTGGCTCAGTGGTTGAGCGTCAACCCGTGAACCAGGAGATCACGGTTCGATTCCTGGACAGGGCACATGCCTGGGTTGTGGGCTCGATCCCCAGTAGGGGACATGCAGGAGGCAGCCAATCAATAACTCTCTCTCATCACTGATGCTTCTATCTCTCTCCCTCTCCCTTTCTCTCTCTGAAATCAATTTAAAAAACAAACAAAACAAAAAAACCTCTTTGCCCTAGCCAGTTTTGATCAGTAGTTAGTGTTGGGGGTCTCGGGTTTGATTCTGGTCAAGGGCACATACCTTGGCTGCAAGCCCGGTCAGGAGGCAACCAATTGATATGTCTCTCTCACATCGATGTTTCTCTCTCCCTTCCACTCTCTCTAAAAGCAACAGAAAAAATATCCTAGAGTGAGGATTAAAAAAAACAAAACAAAACAAAGCAAAACAAAACACAAACCTCTTTAACAGATTTATTCTGCCTAGTAAATAAACTCCAACCCCCTCAGCCATACATTCAATGTCATTCAAGATCTAACTGAAACCTAACCCTGTCTGTTTATCACCCACTATTCCCTTACACAGTTCACATTAACTCACTTAGTATAGTCAGCGAGCAAAACTTCTTAAAAACTGTCTACCATGTTTAAGCCACTGGATGTGAACACAAAAAAAGAGAGTGATCTTGGGGAGCTCAATGGCAAAAGGCTGACACTGACATAGTCATCCTCTCTGGTGACCGGAGGTTACTGGAAGAAATTATAAATTTCAAGCCTATCTTTAGCTTCATTTTTAAAAACTCATTCAAATTTGAAAAGATCATACAATCATATGATTTAAAAATTAATAAGTATAAAAACAGTAAACAGTGAATAGTTTCTGTCCCACTCCAGCCCTTGGTCTGTCTAATTCTCTCCTCTTGCCTCAAGTCCGAGTAATATTGTTTTCAGTCTCTTGTGTATTACTCCAGAACTTCTTTAGGTTAACACAAGCCAATCTTTCCCCCCGACAAATGGTAGCATCAAACGTGTGCCTTCTGCAGCTCCATTTTTCACTTACTACGTTCGTAGAGGTCTTTCCACATCAGTAGATAGAAAGCACCCTCACTCCCAGTCCCTACAGTAGAGCCTGGCACATGGTAGACGCTCCATAAATACAGGTTGAATGAATGAGGGCATTCTATTCTACAGATGCACAGAACTCCATGGTATGGAGACACCATAATTTATTTAACAACTCCCCTATTGAAGTTATTCCATTTCTTCAACTTTTTGTTAATGTGAAAAATGCTGCAAAGAACTAATTGGTCCATTTGTCATTGTACATGTCCACTAGTCAGTTCGTAAGATAACACCTTTGAAATGCAATGTCTCAGTCAAAGAATGTATTTATACATGATTTTGAGAGATACCGACCAACGCCTCCCTTGAAGGGTGTACTCATCGACATTCCCACCAGAACTATAGAGAATGTCTCTTTTCCAACCTCATCAAAAAGGTGTGTTATCAAAGCTTGGAATTTTTGTCAATCTGATGGTAAAAAATAGTGTGATATAATTTGTATTTCCCTTATTATGAGCAAGGTTGTATGAACTGTTCAAATTCTGTGCTCACTGTTCTAATGGGTTGTTGTTGTTCTACTTAGAGATTCATAGAAGTATTTCATATACTACAGAGATGAACCCTTGGCTGTGATAATGAGTAACAATAGTTTACCCATTTTTTTAAAAAGATTTTGCCTGAAATTTCTTTTAGCTATGGAAAAGTTTTGGTTTTTTTGTGTGTGTTTTTTTAATGTTTGTAGCCCATAGCCTTAGAAAACTGTTAATTCCTTGCCAAGGGAAAATATATCACCTTGCATGTAATGTACTCCTGTAATAAACAAACATTTCTGTATCAGCACATACACACCTTCATCCCTCTTCTGTATCCCACCTAACTGGTCTTCCTCTCTTACCATCTTCTCATCCTGCAATCTGGGTAATTCTCTCCCTCCCCTGTCTCTGTCCTACGGTTTGTACAGTGAGTGAGAGAGCAAAGTGCTGGATCCCTCCTGTGCTTCCAAACTTAGCAGATATAATAACAGGCAGTCACAATAACATTTCCCATTATTATGTCTCATTTTTCTCCCAGACTACGTACGCTTTGAAGATAAGTAATTCCTTTACTGCATTCCTTGAACTTAATAATGAGGATATGATATAGTTGGTAAGGAAATAATATTCTCTACATTCCAGAGGAGCACTAGAGCATTCATTACATGTGTGCTTAAAGAGCTTTTAAACCGCGATGCTAAAATATAAGCCAAGAGTCTCAGGAAATAAACTGATAGAAATTTCAAAATTTTCGTTCTTTAATCCTTTCAAAATATCTCCTTGGAAAGAGCAAATGGGTGTCCCTTAAAATTCACATGCTAGCATTTTTTTTCTGTTTCATTTTAAGTTCTTTGAACAGCAAGAATTTCAATACTTGCTGGAGAAATCGTTCCAGAAAATAGGAGACACCCTGTAAGATTTTTCCCTTCAATTCCATTCAGAGAAATACAAAATATTTATTCTCTTCTGGCTTTTATACCTTTTTTCAGGCTATATGAATCCAGAGATAGAAAAAGAAAACTCGTGACAGGGGACAAGTAGCAGTGCTATCGTCCCATTGTACTCCCACCTCCCCCAGGTCTCCTTTAGTCACTACAGGTCGGAAGTTACTTCTAGGAGATGCCCAGTGGAGAAGACTGGTAATTACTCGGGATTTATGGCCCATATAACTGGGTGGTTCTGTGAGAGTATTTCCAAGTCAATTCAAACTTACCTCAGTAGGTTATTTTAATGATGTATAGCAGAGACCATAAGGTGTTTGTTAACTACCTTTCAAACTGTTCTAAAATATTGAAAAATATAAACATATAAAGGGAAATTAAGAGGATAACAGGAAAGGAAACATGGGCAAAAAATAATAATATTGCTATTTCACCAACTAAGGTGCACTTCAGTAATGAGAGGATCAATATTAAGATCAATAAGTAACCTACCAAAATATTTTCAGTCTATTTGTTCCTCTGTCAACTGTTAAGAAAGAGAAGAGAGAGGAAAAGCCCACTCTTTCTACCCTATTCTCTGGACAGTACCTGAAAGCACTGATAGAAAAGGGGGCTCTTTTTATCAGGCGCTGCTTTCCAGTGGTGAGATTCACTTGCTTCATTTCTGCACACAATGACAAAGACGTTAGATAAGTCAGAGACACAGGCGGGCTATAAACTGTCAGGAAGACTTCGAGCCACCCTACAAGAATCACAGAGTTTTGGGAGTAGATCGCAAACACAGTGCATTAAAGATACTTTATTACCTGTCTGTCTAGCACGTCATAAAGTGCTATTCAGGGAGGGCGGTTTCACTGCTTGATCTGCGCTCACACGAAAGAATGCTAATCTCAGATGCTGCTCAGTAGGCAGGGTCTGTTCCTTTCTGTACAATGCGCAGGTTAAAGTGACATTAAACTAGGAGAGTTCTTGACTTAGGAAAATTATGAAAATCATAGTACTAGAAAGAGAAAGAAATTATAGTACTGAATATTCTAGTTGGCTTATTAAGTGGAAACTACACACTGATTTCTCCAAAAATTTTGGAAATGATTTTTAAAAAATACATTACCATTATAAAACTTGCACAATTCACAGAATTTCAAAAATGTGTACATTTCTTGCCTTCTCTTTAAATTGTATACCTAAACCAAAACATAGAAAACCTAGCTAGACTCAATACATAGTTACATGAGAGATTCTAGTGATAAAGGGCTAATTAACTAAAGGTATTGCTTTCTTCTTTCGTCTCTGTCTCAGCGGTTGTTGCATTTACCAGGCCCATTCCTACCACAAACAAGAATACTAAGTCCTAATGTGAGTTTCTAGTTAGTTTCTGTTATGTAATTGGCATTATTCCATTCCAAAATAAAGGGATTCACCGTCAGGCAAATAAAGTAGGTTCTGCTCTGTCTGTGTTCCCCAAACTCTGCACACACACTGGCGTTACCACTGTGGAGGGAAAAGCAAGATCTCAGCTCACGTAGTGAAACCTGTGGCGTCTTCTTGTGCCACCTCATGCTGAGTTCACTTTTCATCATTTTTACAGACAGAAGCAGAGTTGGCTTGTGGCAGAACTGTTGGGGCTAATTTTGCAAATGGTACATATGAAATGCTAATACCTGTACTTCTGAAACAGTACCGTTATATGGAGGGTTAGGGAACTTGAGTTATTACATGTGACTCTTACGTGATTAAAGAAAGTTTTAATAAACTGCATTGTCTGAGAAAAAGTTTCCCCAAAATACAGTTTACTAGAAAATATTCTTTCAGAAACATGTAGCCTGCTGAATTGTCTACCAAATGCTTTCATAAACCTCACCCTCTGCATGAGTCTGTGCGTATCATTACGTCTCAGCGTAGCTTCAAAGCTGGCCCTGGTACCCAGACTAAAATGCCTGCCAGACACCTTCTGTCTAGACTGCAGGAGAAAGACAAACGTCAGGGCCCCCTTAAAGGCAGACAGCCTATTTGTCTAATGTCATTTTTTAAAAAAATGTTACAGTGAGTCAGGAGTAAGAATCTAATGGTTTTAACTCTTGATTAAAAAAAAAACAACAACAACAAAAACAACTTTGAGGGGTAATAATTGTTAGAGATTTGGTTGCATCAACCTCTTACTGGACAATCCCCTTCATCATTTCTGGGCCTTGGCTCATCCAAGGAAATTTCCTAAGGTTTCACCACCCTACGCTGTAATAGCACACCAGTAACTGTCAAAAAGACAGAAACTGGGAAGAACAGTTAGAGGACTGAGCTGTGTAGCAACCAAAATGCACTTTTATTAAGAAAGCTTCCCCAAGCAGCTCTTGTTTGCCTCTAAGCAGCCAACAGCTGGGACTATAGCAGCTTCGGAGTGAAGGGGCTGAATCCAACAGGTTTTTCATTGGATACCCCAAATCATGCCCACAGACCAAGAATGAAATCCCAAGCACAGCTGATTTCCAGATTAGCTGGCTAATCTGTGAAAGAACCCATGAAATCAGAAAAGAGCACAAGGCAATGTCCATTAAAGAAATAGTTTTTTGGCAAAGACACCAAGCAGTGGGTCACTCATCAGAACTCAGGTCTTAAAGCTATCACCGACTTTGTCACTTAACTTCTTAGATTGATCTTTAAAATAAAAAGGTTGCTATCTATTTCAAAAGACTGATGGGATGACTAAAACAATAGCTTAAAGTGTTTGTATTCTTTAGAAGAGAAGCATTACATGAATATACGACAATCTCCATACACATTAGTATCTAGAAGCATATAAATACTCTTTTATAAAAGAGTGTTCCTCAGGAAGATTGTAAATCTTGAATTTTTATAGAGGTACTTTTATGTATTACAAAAAGGATTTACTTCACTGTTTTCAAATGTATCAACTAGTCCTGATTTTCAGAGCTGTAGATTTTACCATATCAGTATACTAAAAACAGACAACTATTGGGGAAAACACACACATACCTGCAAAGTCTATCTTGTAGCTGAATTTGGAAGTAGTAAAAGAAATGGAGCCACAAGGGTTTGTTTTGAAGCTTTTTTCGATATCTTCGCTGCTAACTGAACACTGAATGTTGGTATCCGGCTTTAAGACAAACCAAAAAGTTTCATTCACCAGCTGTTCACACACATCAGTGGCTTGGCCACAGAGGTAGTTCTGTGGTCACAGAGACAGAGGATGGTGAAACAGGGAAACTTAACTAATCCCCTGTTCTAGTCGCCTATACACTGGGAGAATCGCAACTAAGCCCACATATTAAAAATAGTTTAAGGATTTCTTGCAAAGAAACTTCAACAACTAGTTCTAATGCTTTTTCCAAAATTATTATAATTTTCATAAACTATGACAATAACTACACTTCCTAAGTGGCTCAAAAATTAAATCTTCTTTAAGTGGCTTTGTAAGTAAAAAAAGACCACAAGCTTTTACCATTAACTTCACCATTAACCAGCTGTGTGACTCTGGACAAAGTACATTAACTTTCTGAGCTTCACTCTGACTGTAAGACCGTGTTAACATCTGCTTCAGAGATGTTATAAGGATAAAGAAGAAAGCATATGTACAACACCTCACAAAATACCTGGTGTACAGAAGGTGTTTAATATGGGCTGTTCTCTTCCCTTTCCCTTTGTCCACCAACTCAAACTTGGAGTTGCTCAGATATACTGACACCATGCAACTCTCAGTCACAATCGCCTTCTGTACACACAGTAAACACATACTGTTTCTTCTAAATAAATTATTGTGACAACCTGGGGAAAAGAAAAGGAAAAGAACTGGAAGAATTTCTAATTTTTCTTTTAGTTAAGCTATCTGATTTCCTTGGGGTTTGATTTCTTTCTGGTTCGCTCAGACTCATTTTATCCATCAGCAAGATGACACTAAGTGAATCTAAATCCCTTCTGCTACATCCAAGGAAAGGAGGTACCTGAAACATGTGCCACTTTCCACATTCTGCCAAGTAAAACCAGCCCCACTGGGTATCTGATGTGTCCATCTCATCCATCTCACTACCTGCTGTTTTGGATAGGAATTCTTCCGCTTTGTGAAACATCTCCTGAAAAGGCAGAAAGAGGTAGAGAAAAAAATATTTTTTCTAATAACCAATGTACTTCTTACACGTCATTTTTCTTCTTACAAAGAGCTGTATTCCAAGTGTCTTTCCCCCAGTGACACTTCAAAAGTAGCCTTCTATGTTGTATATTAGGTCTGAAGATGAACGTTTTAAAATGTTGAATATCACTTAGGTAGGATATATCAATACCCACTCAACCATTTAAGTAAGCTGTGTCGAAATCTATAAGCACTCCAGACTCTCAGCATAGTGTCAAAAAATTTCTGTCTGATCATATGTTTATTCATGTATTTGGTCAAAAGGATCCATGCTATCACAACTAATTAAGACCAAATACATCTGATTTTTGTTTTAAACATTCATTATTTCATTTAATGGCATGGAAAGATGTTTATAATATATAGTGTTCAGTACAAAGAAGGTTACAATAAATAGAAATAGTATAATCCAATTTTAATAAAAATGCATCTATATTTACCCACATGAATGTATATGTATGTGTATGTATATGTACATGTATGTATATGTATATGTATATGTATGTGTACATGTACACATACATAAAAAGTCTGGCTGGATATACAAAAATTTATCATAGTTTTTTCTGAGTGGTAGGATAATAATAATAATAATAACACTTATATGGCTCTTACTATGTGCCAAGCACTGTTCTAAGTACTATACAGATAGTAACTCATTTAGCCCGAACAATCATCGTATAAGATAGGTACTATTATTCCAAATTTGTAAGTGAGGAAACTGAGGCACAGAGAGATCATACAATGAGGAAGACAGGACTCAAACCTCGGCATTCTGGATCTAGGGTCTGTGTACTTAACCACCATGGTGTACTCCCTTATACTTCATTGTCAATGATTTTATAATCTTAACTATATCAACTAATTCATGTACACATTATCTCTGAAGAGTTTTAAACATTCTTTGGGGGAGATTGTGATAAAGAGGAAGTCACCAGAAAAGGAGCAAAGAAATTAATTACTCAAAAAAGGTAAAACTTTATTTGGAACGTTGCTTTCTGTCCTCATTTTTTAAGGATTTTAAAAAATTACTAGTTTAAATTTATACAACTAATATATGAAAACATGTTCCACAAAATTGGGCTAAAGACTTTTTTGACTATCACTTCCATACTCCCATTCCTGGTAACTCCTCACCCTCCTTCTCCAGGGTTAGCCAATGCTGTCAACTAACTTGTATCTTCCAGATCTCTCTCTCCCTCTTCCTTTCTCCCTACCTCCATCCCTACGTGTGTGTGTGATCATATACACACATACAAACATATATAATTATTGGTGATTTTAAAAAATTTTATTTCTTATATATTTTGTTTTTTACAAAGAATATGTATTACATGAGTAATTTTGAAAATACGTGTTTTTAATTCCCTTATTTTCTTTTATTTTTATTTTTTAAATATATCTTTATTGATTTCAGAGAGAGGAAAGGTGAGGGAGAGAGAGACAGAAACATCAATGATGAGAGAGTCATTGATCAAGCCCGCAACCCGGGCATGTGCCCTGACCGGGAACCGAACCCTGATTGCCTGGATCCCAGGTCGACGCTCAACTGCTGAGCGACACCCAGGCAGGCTAATTCCCTTATTTTAAATGTCCATCCTGTTTCCAGAAGCTGTGTAAGCCTCCATTACGTTCTCTAGGCCACGCTCTCCTCTTCGCAGAGTGGAGAGTAAAGGCTTCCTGCTCACTGGGTTGTTGTCAGAAACAAATGAGAAAATGTCGTCAAGTTCCAAGTACAGCACCGGAGCTCCATGAAGGGGGCTTGTTATTTTTTATTAGTGTTTTGAATCTCTCTCCAAGGAATGTTTTATGATTATTTTCTGGATTTTCCTTCATGTTTTAAAGTTGATTGGCTGCTAAGAAATGAAAAATAGCCCTGGTAGGTGTGGCTCAGTTGGTTGAGCGTGGTCCCAAGCACTGAGAGGCCACTGGTTCGATTCCTGGTCAGGCCACATGCCTGGGTTTCAGGCTCGATCCCCAGTAGGGGGTCTGTAAGGGGTGTGCAGGAGGCAGCCGATCGATGTTTCTCTCTCTCATCGATGTTTCTCTCTCTTTCCCTTTCCCTTCCTCTCTCTCTAAAATCAATAATAAGAAAACATATTTTTTTAAAAAGAAATGAAAAATAGAATATCCTAGGATCAAGAGCTTCAGGTTTAGGACCCACTATTTACCTTATATATTTTAACTAGATAATAAAGGCAATGACTTAAGATTTAGGATCAATTGTACAGGTTAACTATTCACAACTTCTGCTTCTTTCTTCTATTAACATTCACATCATTTGACCATTTTACTGTAGAGAAAAAGAAAGCAAGAATAACCTAACTTCAATTTTCCTTCTGAAAATAATCAGAAAAAAATTGGAAGATGAGTTGGAAGGTAATAGTTAAGACAAATATTTGGCTTACGAGTTTTATCTTTTCTCTACTAGAAAAGAGAATTTAACAAATATAGCATGTTGCATGTATATAGCATAGAGGCAACATATATGCAATACTTTAAGCCAGGTTATGAGTGAAGGTGTTTTACCAAATTCCTTTCAGAACTTCCTGTTATCAACAGCTTTGGGTAGGACCTAAGACAGACTCATATTTATCTCTGTTTTAGAAAGGGTAGCACTATAGATAGGTGCCTCTGTACTGAACATTCCTAAAGCACTTCACTCTTTACACAATTCTTTATCAGTTTACACTAATATTTCCCTTCACAACCCAATGTGCAAGAGAAGTCATTATTCTTCAATTAAAGTTAGGAAAACCCGAAGCAGAGGAAATACAATTATTTTGTCTTGTCTAGAATCATAGAGTTAACAGTGCAAAGAAGATTAAAGAAATACCCAAGGCCTCCTGAGCATCAGTCTTCCCTAAGCTGCCAACACCCACTGCCTCATCTCCATGGGTGGACAGTCATCCCTTCTCTCCTCTGTTGCCAAAGTTTAATTTGATTGCTTTGCTTTACAGGTGCTATGGCTTTCTTCTCACACTCATGTTCACAAGACTAAATCTTACAGTTTTCTACAATAAATTTTTCCTCCAAAGGAATGGCTATTCTGCAAAAGTAGGCTCACAGAGTAAGTCAAGTTTAAATTAATAACTTTAAAATACTATGGCCAGAGTAATAATGGTTCTAGGTTAGAACACACTTATAGGCAATAAAAGGAATGTGTGAAAGTTGTCTGTCATGGAGTAGGCAACTAATAAATGTCAGCTGAATGAATTAGTTCACAAGTCATATATACTCTGCCTTCATTTTCCAGTTTTTAATTGGCAGAGAATGATATATCCTGCACATCAGAGTGTGAAGAAAAATAGTACAAATAAAAAGCATTTTGTAAATTTTTAATTTTTCCTGGAAGAACCTGCGTATAATGCTATCTATTCCAAATGTAATATTTATGGGACCTGGGAATAGTGAGTCTGGATCATCAAATTGAAAGACTATGTGGAAAATGAGTTTACAGTCAAAATCCTGGTCTGTAGGAGAAAACATATTGCCACCTTCCAGACTGGTGAAAAGTTTTCTGTAAGTTAATTACAATATACAAAATATAAATTATTTTGTTAGTATAAACATAATACCTTGAGGAAATCATATTTGGTAATGAAAACTTTCTTGTCTCTTATGGGAAGAAGATCCAAAACTTGATACTAAAAGCTTAAAAATAGGGTGAACGTTTGGAATGGCAGAATAAGGAATCAATGGCCCCCCCTCCCCAGCAAAACTGCAGTTTAACTGATGAACTTTTTTTTTTTAATTAAGTTTAGAAATTGTCCTAAGGGCATACAGCAAATGGCGAAACATTTCTTCAAGAAAATCTACTAAATCTCAGAAAAGGCTTGCACACCCAACCAGCATTACCATTCCTGTGCAGAGCCCTCCTATCACATGGCCAAATTTTGGTCTGTTTGGGCTTCATTAACTCTGCTGACCTCACCATGGAGAGTCCCTGAGACCCTGCCCTTCCACACCCAGAGGGTGGCAGCTTCCCTTGGTGTACCCTGAGACTTGCTGAGTAACCCCAGGCCCAGCACTGACACCGAGTGTGAATTTGTTTCAGTTTGGTGGAACACCAGTCACCCCTCCCTACCTGGTAACACACTGAGAACTTTCCTCACCCAACTCACGTTCCACCAGAGGTTCTTTCAGTGACTGAGCCTAATAGGCTGCCAGAAAGCAGAGGCAGATCTTGGGGTGCCTTAGGCCTTTTGCTGACTTGCCCCAGGGCATGGTGCTGGTGGAAGCCAGCCATAGTGTGTAGCATGGCCCCTCCCACACACACCCAGGCCCAACAGAGACAGACACAAAGTGTGGATGGCTTTGTAGCTACAAACAGGGCTGTTTATAGGCAGCACATGACACTGACTTGCACTAGAGTCCCTCCCAAAAGGCCCCACAACCAGCATACCCAATGATAGGATTCAGACCGCATCAGAGCACAATCCAATTAGCCATACAAGCAGCACACCCAAAGGAAGATATCAGCAGGCAACAGACCCTCCTGGGGTAAAATTCACTTTGTGGGGTCAGCCCTTGCACAGCAACTTGTACACTGTGATTGGAGTCAATCCTCACAGTCAGCCAGCTCTGAGTCAACCCCACCCATGGAAGGGCCAACATCAATCAAGACTCAACTACAACAGGAAATTTCACATAATCCACACAAGGGACATTTCTGAATCACTTAGATCAGGTGATCTGGGAGATTGTGCCACTCAGTCCCATAAGATACATACTGCATAAGGCCACCATATGAAGACTTGGAGGCATAGGCAGATCTACCTAATACCCAGAAACAATTACAGAGAGGCAGCCAAAATAGGGAGACAAAAAGCATGCTCTAAATGAAAGAACAGGAGAAATCCCCAGAATAAGAATAAAGTGAAATGGAGGAAAGCAATCTACCAGATACAGAGTTCAAAACAATGGTTATAAGGATGCTCAAGA